GGTCAGGGCGGGAGGAGGGTATAGAAACTGTGGAACAGTGGACGGGAAAGACTCCCAAGAATTAACTCTGCATCTCAAGCCCCATGCAGCAAAAGCATGCTTCCCAAGGTGCATGGTGACATGCATGGAGGGCTTTGTCCTCCCAGTGTCCCAGGGCAGTGGGTCTTCTGCAGTTTCCCAGGATGGAAGGAGCCAGGTCAACCCCTAGGCGACTTTCAATTCTTTGAGCTGAGCTGGTCAGTGTTGGCAAACTAGGAAGACAGCAGAGGTCAAGAGTCAGGAGCATCCCAGGAGACTGCAGTTGTGGGACCAGATGGGTTATGGTGCCCTGAAAAGATCACTCTTAAAAGAGACAGCAGTTGGAAAACTGTGTTTCAACAGACTTTCACAAGGTGACACTGTGTGTTACTTGAGCGCCTGCATACGTGCATGTGTGTGTGTGTGTGTGTGTGTGTGTGTGTGTTAGCTGACTTTGGTTTTTTAGAATGCTGGTGGGAAGACAGCCCTAGGAGGCATGTCCAGCTCTCTACAGACAATAGGAGACTTAGCGATTTAGCATCGCTGAGGAGCTTGTGAGAGAAGCCAAAAGTATTGTCCCACCTACTGAGCCAGAATTGGGACTGAACCCTGAAAATTGTGTTTAAATAAGTCTTGCAGGTGAATATGAGACCCTATAAAATTTGGGAATCACTGACCTAGATTAAATCGTCACTAGGGAGCAATGGTGGAAGCTCCATTCATCTTTCAGGCATTGTCTTTCCCTCTTTTTCTCCTTCCCACCCTTTTCTTTCTTCCTTCCCCAGGGAAAACACACATCTAAATATCTGGCCTGGGACAACTCGCTCAGCCAGTCACTGTTTTATTCAGTCGGTCACCCTCTGTCTCTACATGGACAACTTCAGGGTCCTTGGACACCTGTTGAGGGTAACAGTAGGATTGTTAACCTAATACTAGATTTCACTTGACTTCAGAAAAAAAAAGTTTCTTTTAGGGACCAAGTACATAGAACATCTCACTTTATTTTATAGTCCCTGGTCTTCGGATGCTCACCCACTCTCTTTATCCACGCGAATGTTGTCCTTTTCTTACTGTCACTACCTTGGAGTGATTCTAAATGTCTGTCGTGCAGCCTTCCACACTCATCTGCCCTTGCCCTCTCAGCGTTAGGTCACAGGGTACCAGGTAGGATGCAGTGTGGGCAAGGAATATGGGCTGCTGTGTTCCAGGGTCACCCCAAGGCTCTCCGGATGCTTGAAGGACCCTGGAACTCTACACATTCCGCTTATCCGCTCTGTCTGTACTGGTTCCAGCCCACTCCCGATTCTCTGTCTGTGGCCCCACACTGCCTACCTACCAGGCCACAGGTATCGACATAGGGGTTTTCATTCCAGACCTGCTAATTTGTCTCCTTCTCTAAGGACTGCAGAATGACTTCCTTGTGAAGTGACTAAAACCCTGACTGTAAACAACACTTTCTAATCTTATGCCAACTGAACACTTTCCATGAGAGTTCTCTTTTCTCTTACGCTCTAGGACCCTGACTCCTGTGTCTGTTCTCATCGAGCAAAGGGAACCCCTCCACTGGACCCTATGTTTCCCTTAGAGGTTTGGGGGTCAGAGGACTATTAGCAGTGAGAGTAATAGAAAACTTCACAGACAGTAGCCCTGCCAATCCAGTTTAATTAAAGGTTTTGTCATCCTCAATTTTCAGACCTTACAAAAGCTACTTTTTAATGAGTTAATACAGGAAAGCCACTGAAAACGTAGAAAAGTTAATTTTCCCACTGCCCAGAGTCATGAGTTGTACACACACCCGTCTCCAGTCTGACAAATAGCTACCATGTTAAAATGATCTTTTCTTATGAGGATTTTCAGAATATAAAATGTGTAATGGTCGGGGGCATGGTAATCTCTTTACAACCAGGGATCGTATTTCTTAACAGGATTTTGCTTCCCAGTGTAAATAGTTTGACACAGTAACTTTCAGGGGAGCCAGTACTTAGGAAACGCCAAGGCCAATATTTGAATTCAGACACAAGTTTTAACAAAGGAAAATGTATATCCTTGCCGCTGTTTGCTGTGAATATTTCCCTAGAGGATTATACGCTATTCTTGAACTCAATCCAAGTTGCCAAACTCCAAAAAAACGAATGCGGTGCCAGCGTATAAGGCCCGTACACTTCCCTTCCCACAATATTCCTTAGTGCCTATGTGTACTGTCTACTGGGCAACCGTGCCATGGTTTGAAGCCTTGAACTTTTATCCGGACTTGAGGTAGGGACAAGGAAAGTAGAATTTTTAAAATTGGTTCTTAAAAAAAAAAAAAAGAGCTTACTGTTTCTATTGATCAGTAGTCTTTAAAACACATAGCGAACTCTCCTGCCATTTTAGGGCATTCTGTGAGTCAAGGGGGAAAGGTCAATGTCTAAGCCAGCTCTTTTTTTTTTTTTTTTTTTGAAAACTGAAGGCCAGCCAGCAGGGTGGAGCACACCTTGAATCCCAGTGGGAGGCAGAGGCAGGTGGATCCCTGTGAGTTTGAGGACAGCCAGGTCTACAGAGTGAGTGCCACAGAGAAACCCTGTCTCATGAGGGCCAGCACAGGAAAGCCTTCAACTTCCTACCCAGAAGACATGTTACAGTGATGTTATTTCACATCAGAATGGCTCCCGGGATGGTCACCATGCATAACTCAAGCCTCTCCTCATTCTGACCCTGTAAGGAGTCCCAGAGAGAAAAGGATTGCTGCTCCCCTATCAGTAGGCCAGCTAGATTGGCCGAGTTCTTGTGGACCAGGATAAATCCAGAGTCAAACTCAAAGAGTTCAAATCTTATATAAAGTCAATAAGCTTTGTTAATTTGCCTCTGCGCCCCAAACATAGATAATGTCATAAATCAGGGGACACACCCCGAGAGGCCCACTCCTTTCTTATCCTATGCACGCCTGCTCACACTGCATGTGTTAACCACACACTCCAGTTTACAGTCACCTAACCCTCTCCTGTGTCCTTTGTCCCCACACACACCCAGGCCTCTGCTTGGCAAGCGGACTTGTCTCCAGGAACCAGACTGGGTGGGTGCTATGATGTCAGGGTCTCGGGCTGCAGCCTTTCTAATATGCATTAGGCCACAGTCACCTTTTCCTTAGCCTGGAAAAGCACACATAGAGCGTGGTGCTGCCCAGGCCATGAGGCACACTGGGCCCACCCAGACCCACCCAGACCCTGGAGAGTGTGAAGGAGAACACGATTGTGTCATGTGGGTGTGTTCAGTTGTCCTGTTCCCCTCTGCCTCATCCTTAACCACATTATCTTGACAGGACGTATGACCTAGGAGTAACCTGGTTTGCATTAGCAGCAATGGTTTCTAAAATGCTTGTATATCAAGGAAGCAAGGTCATGGGTATATTTTAACCGTGATTATTATTATTATCATCATTAGAGGCATAGTCTCACCATGTAACTCTGACTATTGATGTGGGAGGTCCTTCTGTATACGTGCTGCTTTATTGGCTAATGAATAAAGCTGTTTCGGCCAATGGCTTTGCAGAGTAAAGCCAGGAGGGAAATCTGATATTTAGATATTTAGAGAGATATTTAGAGAGAGAGTAGCCGGAGTCAAGGAGACACCATGTAGCTGCTGAAGGAGAAAGACGCTTTGGAACCTTTCCAGTAAGCCACAGCGTTGTGGCGATACATAGATTGTTAGAAATGGGTTAATTTAAGATGTAAGAGCTAGCCAATAAGAAACCTAAGCTAATAGGCCAAGCAGTGTTGTGATTAATATAATTTCTGTGTGATTATTTGGGTCTGGGCAGACGGGAAACAAACGAGCAGTCTCCATTTACAGACTGTCCTAGAACTCACTTTGTAGACCAGGCTGGTCTTGAACTCACAGACATCTGCCTGCCTCCTGAGTGCTGGGATTAAAGGTGTGCCCCACGTGTTAATTAACTTAAAATGTATGCCTTGTGGATTCAGTGTGTTCAGTCCTGGTTAGTGGGGTTCAGCAGTGAAGAAAGAGCTACAGTCTACTGGGGAGACAGACTCATTCATTTGTATCTATGGTACCATGTAAATCACAAAATCTCAGACCCAAGGTTCCTGGTTGATAACTCTTATTATGTTGAATAAATATTGCCCCTATTTGATGACTCAGTTAAACCTTCTACTCCAACATGGCTACCTGCTGGCCAGGTGCCAAAGAGGAAGACAGGAGGAAGGCAAGCTTGCTCTTTGATGAGACACTACAGAAAACAGAACCTAGACACTAGGCACATCTGGTGGCAAGGGAGATTTCCAAATGAAATCTTGACTCTGGGTCTCCAGGTACAATACAGGCGTCTCCCACGTAAGAAGAAAATGGGTGCTGGGGGCAGCCAGGAGTCTCAGCTCTAGCATGTCTGCACTGCTGCCTGCTTCCTTCCGTGGGCTACCGTCTAACATCATGACCTGGTACCGCAATCACTGCCGGGTGTTTGGGACTTGTCTGGGCTCCTGTTCGTTCTGCCTTTGCTGCTCCAGTGGGAGGTGAGAGTCTCTATCTGAGGGATTCTGCAGACTTGGAGCCGGCTGCCATCACTTGTGCTTCCTTTCTCATCTGCTCCAGTTAGAGGTGTCAGCAACCAGCCTGGAAAGATCCTTAAGGCCTCGTGGGCACCTCGGGGCACCGCGCGTCGTGCGGGCAGTTCTTCCTTGGGAGATGGGTTGAGAGAAGAGATAGTACACAGTACAGAGGCGGTCCTAGATTCTTCCTGGCCTTGCTACTTGAAGCAGACTGGGGTGGGGGGGCGGGTGAAGTGTGTGTGTGTGTGTGGGGGGGAGCTGCAAAAGCCGGAACACTCTTTTTACAGCCTCTGTTGGCACACACTGAAGGGGGAAAAGTACAGCTCAGGTTCCACAGAGGGGCAGGGTCAAATCTGCAGGCGGACCTCACACACAGCCACACAGCGAGGAAGTCCCTGCTCAGCCAGAGCCCAAGGACACTCTCAAAAGATAAGTACAGAGAAACTTAATTACCATTTAAAGTTGTTCCGAAGGGAGCTCTGCCTGTGGTTTAGCTCTGCCTCTGAGCCTTACATGTGAGTACTCACCGGCTGCCGTTTCTCCTCCCAAAGTTAGGGTGGACAGTGGAGGCAGAAGGCCCCTAGCTCCCAGTCCCATCTGCAGTCACCCTTCAGGTTGCTACCTGGCTTGGGGCAAGTTTGAGTATTGGATCACGTGTAAGGGTGTTAGTGCCAGTGGGTAGGAGTGGGAGTTTTCCCCTCTTCGGGAACATCTGGAGTGTCATTGGGGACAAACTGATATACATTTACACAAGCCCCAGGGGATTCCCGTGCCTGAGAGAACTGGCTAGATAGTTTCTTTTACACATTTATTTCCTTAAAGGAGGTATTTTATATTCTACCCTGTAATTTAATTCTTTTGGCTCCCACTCTGCTAAGGAGGAAAAGAACATACAGCCCAAACAAATTTTAAAACCCAGGTTCTCCCCCCCCCAACTAGCAAATGTGCGCAGTTTGTGCTGACTTACACACATCTGTAAGCTATGACTTGTTTATACCAACCGTACGATATTTTAAAAATAAAAGTATAATGTTCAGTCTGTGTACAATCACATTTTCTTTTTATCAATCCCTTCACATACAAACTCATTTCCCCCTTTCAGGGTGTAATTACATGTCTAAATAGTAATGTATACCGTTGATGTGTAGGAAGGACATGTATGTTTTGTAGCAAACATATACAAGTATCTACAACATACACTTTCCAATAGCTTGCAAAGGTAGAAAAGCCCACCTAAGTTGGTTTGGTCCTTTTTTCCATGTTGGGCTTTAAGAATTTTGGACCAAGGAATGAGAAATTATTTTGGTGACAGTGTCATAGAGTCCTCTCCTCTTACACATTTGGCTGCAGAGGTAGGAAGGGGTTGAGGGTAGGTGGGATGAGTTTCCTCATGCTGGACCTGATTGGGACTTAACCTCTGAGATGAGGGCCCTCTTTGCTATGGCTTCACAACCACAGTGAAGCTGACATTTGGCTCCAGGAGAGATGCTGACTTGATCCGCCAAGTCTTGTCTGCTCCCAAGAACTCCCTTGGCTGTCTTCTGTGTAGCTCGGAGAGAAGGGCTAACTTAGGAAGGGCTGGGTAGAACTGTCACTGATCCTGCTGACAGGGAATATTCCCTTTTAAGGAGGTAAATCCCTAGGGGATTTGGCTATCGATTGGATTTGGGAATTTGGGAAGAGCCATTGTCTACTGACAGGTGTTTCCTCAAGGAGCTTCTAAAACAGTTGCCTTGCAAAAATTAAGAACCTATAATGAGTTCCTATTGCTTATCTGTTTCTATCCAAATGTTTCAAAATTTTGATATCAATCAGTTTGTTAAACTGAGGAGTACTATTGCCCTGTTCATATACTAGACTTTCTCAAGAGCTGGAGTTGGGATTCCTGCCATTTAAAGTCCTCTCCAGGTAGCTGGGTGTTAGAGAACCATTGATCCAAAACACTGCTTAGGAATAGATAAGGAGAAGTAACTATTTGAAAACAGAAGGCCTTGTTCCCCATGGCCTTCCTTTTTCCTCAGATCCCAAACCACAAACCTGTTTTCTCTTGCCCCCTTTTCGTTGGCTTTCACTTACTTGTATTTGAGAAGATAAACTCTGCATGATTCTCAAATTAGGTCTCCTATTCCCCAGGGTTAATTACTGTCCCTGGCAGGATGGAAGTGCCCCAGAAGCCTGTTCAGTCAATTGGAGAATCCCGCCCTGGGATTACTTGGCTTTGGTTATTATCTGACATGCGGTCCCTCACTGTGACTGATTTAACTGATCTGATTTTGCTAACTGCAAGTCTCCACCTACTCATCATTCTGTTAAAGGATTTCTTGGAACTGTCCTTGGTCAAAGGGAACAACATTCCTAGAGAGAGGGACCACTCAGCCATCAAAGCCAAAGCAACAAATGAGCTCTGTGCTTTAGGGAAAAAAGGAAGCACATGTTGTCCCTTGCAGATTTTGAACTTGACCTAACAGATCCAGGAAATGAGATGGCTGTGCATTCAGGGGGAAGCCTAGCTCAGTCTAGTTGTTTCTGCTCATTAGGGCCCTTCCACAGGCAGGGCCAGTGGAAGTTCAGGGTCAGCTGAACTTTAATACCTGTGTTCACATAGGCTGTTCTGTAATGTCAGCCTTTTCCCCCTGGCTGTTCAGGTACCTCATTCAGGCAGTAGTGTCCCTCTTGAGTACCTAGCTTTACCACTGACTACAGCAGAGGCCTGGACATCATTACCTCAAATAATCTTCTTCCCCTCTTTTTTGCTTTTAAGCACATGCAGAATGATGGGGCTGGGGCAGGCAGGATAGGGGTGAGGGTGGGGGTGTCGCTCCTCTGAGAACAATGTCTGCTTGTCCAGTGTTGTGCCGCTTGCATAAAGCAAACTTTATGAGCTGTAAGCCTGCATTTTTGTTTTCTGACTTATTGTTTTTTATCCTACAATTGTTCTATTAATTTGATAGTATATACTTCCAGCCAAGCTTTTGTTCCAAGTTCTGCCAGATTAAGAGAAATTTCCAGGCGAAATCCTGCCCAGAGGCCTTCCTAAACAATCAAAGCTTCCTCAGTTCATTCCCTAGCTACTTGTCCATCCACAGAAAGTCTTCTGAGAGCTGAGCTGGGTCAAGAGTTAGACCCTGTCTCAGCTTCTTTCGAGGATACTTCATTTCCCGCTGTCAAGGGACATCCCCTAGGCAATTCTTGGACAAGTTCAACAGCAGAAACATGGGTCAGACAGAAGCAATGGGTTAGGAGCTGGATCTGGGTGTTGAGCAATGGAACGTGCTGGGTTATCTTGCCTTCTTGGGTTAAGAGTTTTTCTTTAGGCTCCACGAGGGTGGGTTCAACCTTGAATCCCTCTGCCCCCCCCCAGTAGCCTGTCTGTCTAATTCTCTGAGGATTTTCATGAGGATAGAGGTCACTGTCTGTGACAATTAAGCTTTAAAGTTAATTCCCTAGATAAATAGAGCAAATTGATACCACTTTGACTGTAATTTTTCTTCCTTCAAATGTTAGGACAGCAGGGAATCAGTTGCCAGACTCCCGGTTCCTGGAAATGCAAGGAATACATTTTATTTTCTACCTTTCTAAATGAAGCAATTTAGGGCTGTGAGAAACAACAAAACACATGTAAACATCTTAATTCTACAGTGTGCTTGCATTTCTGAGAGCACAGAGACCCATTGTTTCCTTTCGCGCTCTCTTTTTAAAGTTGAACAAGTAGTGGTTTCTGTTTAAAGTGGAATGATAGGAGGGCTGTAATCTTCTTAATTCAGACCTTGCAGCAGAAAAGCTGGGTTCACTTGCGAGCTGTGATTATTCAGTAACACGCTCTGCATTGGAACAGGGAAAGTAAATAACTGGATGCATACTTTATAATTACATGCAGGGGAAAATTCAAAGCTACAGAGCCTGGAGTGGAGCTGGTGGGCCTGAGGCAGCAGCTGTACTTTCTGGCTTCTCCCACACAGGCGGAGGCATGGGAGAGAACAGGAGCCCGGAGGTCCCAGCAGGACCCCAGGTGCTAGGCCTCAGCTAGCAGGAGCAGAGTGAGGATTTACAGAGCAGAATGTGAGCCCTGGCAGGGACCCCCGGGATCTACGACAACTTCCTACATAGTGTTCAGGACGCATCAAAGTTTTAATAATTTCTCCGCAGTGCTGGTGGTGGGGTTGCTTCTTTTGTGAAAGAACTTTGAGAAAGGCCGTGCACTTGATCCTGCATCGGAGAAACAAAGCACATCCCAGCGTGTCTGAGACGGAGACGCCCCCCAGGAACCACCTGCTTGTTGTGGTCTCCCCCATCTTCAGCCTTGATTTGTAGCAGTCCTGGCCTTGCTAACCACGCACTGGCAGCTTTTCCAACTAGTTCATTTTGTGAGGGAAAAAAACTGTGACAACTAATTCAATTTTTTGTTCCATTTTGTTTTCTGGGTATGCTGCGTGTGTGGTTTATGTACTTGTCGGCGGAGCTGTGCGTGTACGTGCTGGCGTCATGAGGGATGTCTCTCGCACCCCGCTGCACTGCCCTTAGGCAGGCTGGCTGGTCAGTGAGCTCCAGGGACCCTGCTGTCTCTGGCCCCTCCTTCCAGTGGTTACAGGCCTAAACCTGGCTTTTTACATAGATTCTGGGGATTTGAACTCAGGTCCTCATGTTTGCAAGACACTTTGGGAACTGAGCCATCTTTTCAGCCCCTCAAAATTTTGAAACAAAGTTAAAATACACTCAAAAAGTATGGGTTATTTATCCCGTCAGTGCTGACAAAAAAAGCCGGCAAACTTTAATAACATTTTATTTATAATGTTATTGTTTTACTAGCAGTTGGCTCTTGGTCATTTGTCTTAATTTCTTAAGTTTTGACCTCTTTTTTTCATTCTAAGATCTTGACTTCCTGGATGCAAGAGCACCTTCTGCCTCAGCCTTTGTAGTAGCTGCTGGCATTGTAGACTTGAACCACCACACCTCTTTTGAGTTAGTTTCCTCTGACTCCCACCACCCGTACTAGTGTGGGCCTACTGACTAGAGAGCCATCTCCCATAGAACCAGCAGGTTAACCCTTCCATGCTCTCTCCACAGAATCTGTCAGTAAGTTTAGGAAATGCCTTGTGGGCCACAAAGTTGCTTTGGGGGGAAGTAATTTCAGGTAGAGTTGGTCTTCCTCTCAGGAGAACCAGCAATTCATTATAACTTTTTAAATTAGAAAAGTAATAAGAGCATTTTAGAAGTTGTGGGGGGGGGGGCGGGAAACGAAGAAACTATTGGGGTGGTGTTTGCGTGGACCAGATACCATTTCAGGAGCCTGCCTTATGTTAACTCCACAGCTCAGGAACCTAGAAAGAACAGTCTACACTGGCCAACATTGGGTGAGCCGTGGCTATTCCTCCTTAGAGGAGGTATGTAGATGTGTTACCAAACACACCACTATGATAATCTTGTTTATCACAGTTCCAAAAGTGTGTCTGTTTCGTGTTTAACCTGCATCCTATGGATTGTCTGCAGAGTGCTATAAATCCCAGGTATTTATAAGGCAGATCAAACATTTTCTCCTGCTAAGGCAATAACCTTGTTGCCTCCAACTTCAGGCTTCTTTCCAGGGGCCAGAGGGTTGTGTCTGTGGACAGTCAGTTCTTCCCAGGGGCCAGAGGATTGTGTCTGTGGACAGTCGGTTCATTTGTTGGTGGTCGCTGATACAAGCTGCGGTCATTAAAGGCTACTCGGAAGCCACAGTAATATCCACAAGATGCTCACCTGAGGCCAACGAGATGGCTCAGCAGGCAGAGGCTTTGCATCAAGCTCGACTACTTGAACTGGACCCCCAGGACTCCCAAGATAGCAAAAACCAGCTCCTACACGTTGTCCTTTTATCTCACGCATTCTATGGCACACAGATGTCCCCTCAACATACAACACATCTACACGCACACCTCCCCAGAATAAGAGATAAAAATAATTTTTAAAAAATGTTAACTTGGGGGCTGGAAAGATGGCTCAGAGGTTAAGAGCATTCCCTGCTCTTCCAAAGGTCCTGAGTTCAATTCCCAGCAACCACATGGTGGCTCACAACCATCTGTAATGGGGTCTGGTGCCCTCTTCTGGCCTGCAGGCATACACACAGACAGAAATATTGTATACATAATGAATAAATAAATATTTAAAAAAAATGTTAACTTGGTCTTAAACCACATCCTGATTCACCTCTTTGCTCTCCTTTCCCCTGATCGCCCCCCAACACCCCCAAACAAGTCTTGCTAGCTATGATTTCTTATGTGTTAGGTGACAAAACCCAACTCTCTGGTTAAAGAGAGTTGACTGGTCTATGTCCCTGTATGTCCATGATTGAATGGGTTTAGACACACCTACATGCAGCAACTCAAATCATATTTTGATTTCTCTTTCCTTTCTTTGTTAGCTATTGGTCTCTGTTCCGCTCATCCGGTGTCCTGGGACAATGGCCGTTCATATCTCCAGTTTAGGTTATTCTCATAGTCTCAGGGTGGGCGCCTGTCTTTCCTTGCAGACGAGTAGGACAAACTGCTTCTGCACCCTTCCTCGGCCATCTAGTCATATAACCTCAGACAAATCACCGAACGTGTATTCCAGTATAGGGTTGCCATATCCAATTACATGGGCATTAGTTGAAAGAATACATTTTAAGCATTTAGAAAGGTTATCTGTAAATAATACATCCTAGTGTTGGTGTAGGGCGGAGTGTGCCTATCTGGCTAAACCCAAGTTCCATTCTCAGTCCTGGGCATGAGGAGGGCAAGACCCAAATCACCTGGGCAACAGACGCATCACTCTCAAAGGAAGGAGTACTGGGAAAACAAAATGCCCACGCCCACGGTTCTGGCTCGCCCTTCTCTTGTTGTAGTAAAGCAGCATGACCCAAACCAACGTGAAGAAGAAAAGGTTCATGTCTTCTTCTACTTCCAGGTCACAGTCTATCGTGGAGGGAAGTCAGACTTGGACTTCAGACAGAAGCCTGAGGCAGGAACTGAAGCTGAAACGGTGGGAAAATGCTGCTTGCTGGCTTGCCAGAGGAGCAAAGGTAAGCAGGCAAAAAGCAATGTTTTCTTCTTAGGTGCCTTTTTATCTGGGGCACAACCAGAAAGTGCCACCTGAATTTAGCTGTCTTCCAGATTCCAATAATCTGACCAGAAAATTCCCTTACAGAGATCTCAGTGGCTTGCATCTTAGTGATGCCAGATCAAGCCAATGGATAACACAGATTAGACATCATGTCCACTATAGGGCAACATCTGGTTAACTTGTGAGGGTGACAGAAACAGATGGGCCTTAGCCCTGGCCTCTGTATGACCTGGGATGAAACTGTCAGCATTTTTGTTACATTTAAAGTTTGAGCCTTGGGCCAAATGTAACCTGTAGTGTCAAGTCCTTCTGAATGGCATAAGATCAGAACAGGTGTGTCTCTACCAGCAGAAGACCATCCCTGGCAGAGTGTGGTGCAGTCCTCAGACCTTCCGCCGCCGCTACTCTTAGTCCCCCACATAACCTGGCTCCTGCTGTGCATGGCCTTGGGATTATATAGGATTTTTAAATACAGGATATGGAGGGTTGACTTGACCTGGTTACTAGCGGCATAGCTTCGTGAGCAGTAACTCATGTTGGCTGGGACTTCGTGATGACGCAGGAGCTTCTGAGTCACCCACCATGCTGGTTGGAGTTCTCCGTTTGACGCAAGTTGAGAAAAAGCCTCCAATGGATTGGCCTGTACGCAAGTCTGGGTGGCATTTTCTTGGTCAGTGTTGATGTGGTAGGACTCAGCTCACTGTGGGCAGTGCCACCCCTGGGCAGGTGGCCCTGGGTTGTATAAAACCACCAGGCTGAGCAAACCATGAAGGATGAAAGCAGCAAGCAGTGTCCTTCCAACGTCTCTGCTTCAGTTCCTGCCTTGGCTTCCCTCCGTGACATGTGACTGGGATGTGTAAGCCAGATAAATCCCCAGGGTGCTTTGATCATGGCATTTACCACAGCCACGGAGAGCAAACCAAGGTGCCCAGGATCCTGTAAGGAACCCCTCACCCATGCGTCTAGAAGTAAGCTTAGCATGCTGCATTACCAAGCTGAACTTGAATGAAATAATTTCTTTGGTCTGATTTGTCCTGCCCGAGATTAAAAGATGTTTCTTCATACGAGCCTTGAAGTGGCAGCATCACCCTCGTCCTGATGCTTTCGGGTTGGTCTGTCTTACACATCTTGGTCCCACTTCTAAACTGGCTTTTGTGTCTTGCTTTGCCAGTTAGTTTTTTGTCAGCTTGACACAAACTGGAGTTGGTTGAGAGAAGGGACTCTCACCTAAAGATGATTACCTCTACCACATTGGTCTGTGGGAATGTCCAAGGGGCGTTTTCTTGATTGCTGATTGATTGGAAGTGGGGGGGGCACTGTCCACTGTGGATGGTAAAATCTCTGGAAGCCAAGGAATACAAGCAGGTTAAACAAGTGTTCCTCCATGGCCTCTGCTTCAGTTTTTGCCTCCAGATCACTGCTGAGAGTTCCTGCTTTGGCTTTCCTGGCTGACTTGTAAGCCAAATAAATTCTTTACCCATGTTGTCCTTGGTCAGTGTTTTATCAAAGAAACAGAAAGCAAACTAAAACATCAAGACATCAGCCTACAACTCCTAGCTCTGAAGATCCCTGTGATACCACAGACTTCACGTTGTGTGGCTGCGGCTCTTACATAGCCTGGTCTGGATTCTACTCCTATGACTCCCAAGATTCTGACTGACACACCTGGTGTCTCACCTCCCACCCTACCTCCACCCTGAGACCAGGAACCTTCCAGGGCCTTGCCTTGCCTCCTGGTTAGGAGCAGTTGATGGCAACCTACACCCAAGCTTACTGTGTCCAAAGGCACGGGATCTTAGCTGTCCTGGGGTCATTTACCTCATAATGTTGTCCTCCTCTGAGGGAGGGATGAACGTCTGCTGGCCGTTTAAACAGGACCAGGTGGTATTTTATTTCCCTACAGTCTGTTCACCACAGTGCATGTGTCTTGGTCTCTGCTGGTCATTTTTTCATGCACCTTATGGGGAAAGCTACATTTACTTTCTCTTGAAGTGAGCGCTGGTTTCAGTGTCAGCCCAGAGCAACATAGGGGATGATAAATTTGAGTCTCTCTAAATGGCATCTTGAACGGAGCAGAAAGTTCCAGATTCCATATATATGCATTAAGAGATAACTGGTTTTCTAGCTGGCTAATAAATTACATTTCCCTGTCAGCAAGTGGGTTTTTATTTTACCATAAACGATTTCCCAAATACAAGAACTTCTAAAGAGCAGATAAAAGCAGCTGTAAATGTGATCTCAGAATAAATACCAAGGAAGGCAACACAAGCTGCCTGCAGAGTTCCAGCTGCTCGCTCTCTCCCCGGAGCTTATCAGTGTTCTATGGCCAGACACGCAGTGAAGCTGGAAGGCTCCTTTCCAACAGGGTGCACATTTCTGCGTGATCCTTAAAATTGCGCAGGCACTCTGGTTCCTATCAAAATAGCGGCCACTACCACCAAGATTATTCACTTCCTTCTTCTTTGTTTTCCCTCTGGCCCCTCTTTGGCATCTGGGTCTTCCATCCTGTTGTTGAAGATGACAAGTCTTGATTAGGGGAGGCTATGACGGTGTATGTTTTAATTCGGGCAGAGCAAAGGTTAGCCCCTGTGATTTATGGAATCGGGCTACTCACTGGGGTAAGCAAGGCTCTCTTAATCCCTCCCTACCTCCAAGCCGGTCGCATTTCCATCCTAGAGTTGCAGCTGCACTCAGAAACCCAACTGCACTTTTCCAGGGATGGTAATTCCATCTTCCTGAGCTGATTCAAAGATTAAACAGAGTTCTTTAGGGAGCTTGCACTGTCAGCAGGCAGAAGGGGGACTTGAGAAGTTGTCTTTGGGCCAAGAACAATACAAACCTCAGTTGGAAAGAAGGGCTGAAAAAAAATCCTACAATTAGACTCATTTGAATGAGATTGTATTATTTTTTAAAAACATAATTGTTCTTTCTCTCTTTGTGTGTTTCTCTGTCTCTTTCTCTCGTGTGTGTGGTGTGTGTGTTGTATGTGGTGTGTGTGTACGTGTGTGCTCAGGTCACCAGGCTTCTGAGGCAAGTACCTTTACTGACTGAATGTCTCACTGGCCCTGAATTTGTGTTCTTGACCCTGAAGGCTAAGGGGCTGCTTCTCTACTGTCGGCAGTATTGTTTGTCTCAGTATTACCTCACAACCTAAGCCATCCGTTAAATCAGCAGTGCATTCAGCATAGACACCATTTCCTCCTCAGTTCTTACGCCATAGTTTTCTTGCTTTGGCTTTGAGATAGGGTTTCAATATCTTGTTAAGATGGCCTCAAATTTGCACTCCTTTTGCCTCAGTGAACCGAGTGCCAGGATCACAGATGTGTGCCACTATGTTTAGTTCCACAGAAATTCTCATTCACATCCCGGTAACCATATTTTCCTGACACTGGAGGTCTGGATGCTGTCGTCTGGATAACTTTAAATCTGAAGCTATGTCCTCATTTAAGTTGGGTATGTAACTCAGTGGATCCGTTCTTGCCTAGTATGTATGAAGACCTGGGTTCAATCCCCAGGATGTAGGTGTGGTGGTATATGACTGCAATCCCAGCACTCAGGGGATAAAGACAGGTGGATTCATTTAAGGTCATCCTCAGCTGTACAGTTTGAGGTCAACCTGGAATAAAAACAAAACAATGCCAAAATTGTCATAAGGCTGGAAGAGAAATTAGGATTATTGAACCAAAGCAAGGTTCAAAAGCTGCTTTAGGAGTTGTCAGGAGAGTCTTATGAAGCTGTTGCATAGAGAAGGAAGGCCATAGAGCCTGGTGGGGACTTTGTTGAGCAGATGGGTATCAGAACACTGGCTCAATCCAGTCAATCAAACCCCTTCAAGGCTTCCCTGGAGAAAGCCTGGACCACAGCATGACATTCCCTTTGCAGAACCCTTTCCAGGTGAAACCACATTTGAATAACTATAGTAAATAGTTTCTCACCTGCTCTTCTCCTTTGTCTCTCATCACAGTAAAAACCAGGAGATTTTGTCCTCTTCCTTCTGATTGGTGCTGTGCTATGTCACTCACTGACTACATCCTGGGATGTTTTCTGTGCAGGCTGCCCCGTGAACGCTGCCCCACAGTACCGGAAAGAGCACATTCCTTGAACTCACAGCCTCCTAGCGCTCTTTCTGCGGGCCCACCTTCTAATCTTTACCCTCCTCTCTCCAGCTCTTTGACCTTGGCCCAGTAAATTTAACTCTTTGTTCCTTAGTTCTGGCTTTTTATGAAGATCCTTGCCTGTGTGGTGCAGCTTAATGTCAAACCCTACCTCCGTGTCCCAACTTCAGTCGACAGTGACTCATTCCTTGGCCTATGATCTTTCTCATTTTTTTCAAGTTGTTGTTTTCCTTCATTTTCTTTTAAACTTAAAGACTGCTAGAAATAGATCCATTAGTCCTTAATAGGTTGATGCAAGATGAAAGCACCGGCTTCACAAGCCATCTGGACCTTTAAATGAGGGAGAAATATGCATAAAAAAGAAGAAAGGGTCTCAGAAATAAACTCTCCTGACTCCACGCTCCACGCAGGGCTGCCTGCTAACACAGCATTGCTGCGTCTTTTTCCCGAGCACATACAGCCTTTATATAAGCAGTTAGGGGAAGAAGAAACTCAGCTTAGCAGAGAACCAGAAACAGATAATGCTTGTTTATTAACAAGGGAAGCGACCAGCCTCTTTGTTCACAGACAGACAAGTCCTTTCTGCGGCCTAAACTTTGATCTGAAGAACAAGATGGGGAGGCCACCAAGGGAAGCAGAATGGCCACAAAGTCTGCAGAGACAAAACAGGATTCTTGTCTTCAGGTGTCCACCCCTGCTCCGTGTGTGTGTGTGTGTGTGTGTGTGTGTGTGTGTGTGTGTGTATTCATGTGTATGGGGGTGATGTACCCATGTGTACACAAGTGAAGGTCAGAGGTCAGATAACAAAAAAAATGAGTGTTTTTATTTGTGGAGCCCCCCCCCT